GCCAACGACACAGTTTGACCCTCAAGACTTTCCCTGATAAAAAACAGGGTGCGAGCCCCGGGACGGGCACTTCATTCGAAAAAACAATGTGCACCGGACGGGGGGGATCAACAACAATTATTCTTCAGAAGTGAGAACTCAACAACAACAATCATTTTAAGACTGTCTGCCCTTATCTGCTCGAGTGTCCAATAGCGCCAATTTCCCAAACCCTCGATACCCGCCGTCTTCGTCGTCGATCGAACCCCTTTTGGGGGGTATACCTTTCTTCCCTGCAGGCCAGGCCCCGGCAACTGGCGGGGCGGCCGCGGACCGTCGGCCTGGCCAGCGGCAGCGCTGATCGGCGGGGCGGCCGCGGACCGTCGACCCGACCCCAAGAGGGACGGACAGGGGACCGACCACGACGACGACGACGTCGACGACGACGACGACGTCGACGATGACGGCGACGAGCGAAAGCGAGAGCGAAAGAGAACGACAGCAGGGCCACAAGGACACGAAATAGGCCACGAAGGGCCACAGCGGGGACACGAAGGGAATGCGTATGGGGCCACGAAGAGGGCGAACGAGCGGGGGCCACGAAGGGCAGATCATGCGGGGCCACAGAAGGCAACGATGGGGCCGCTGAGCATAGCAACTGGGCCACGTAGGACAGATGCATATGGGGCCACCACGGGCGCGAACGAGCGGGGACCACGAATGGCATACATAGATGGGGCCACGAAGGGCAGCGAGGGGGCCACGAAGGGATGCAACGGGGCCACGAAGGGCAGCGAGGGGGCCAGGAAGGGCTACAACGGGGCTACAAAGGGCTGCAACGGGGCCACGAAGGGCAGCGAGGGGGCCACGAAGGGCTGCAACGGGGCCACGAAACAAAGCGAGGGGGCCACGAAGGACTGCAACGGGAGCGAGGGGGCCACGAGGGGCTGCAACGGGGCCACGAAGGGCAGCGAGTGGGCCACGAGGGGCTGCAACGGGGCCGCGAAACAAAGCGAGGGGGCCACGAAGGGCTGCAACGGGGCCGCGAAGGGCAGCGAGGTCTCGATTCCTATGTAATCTGTGAGGGAGTCCTAAGCGTGAGCGCGACTCCTGGGTTCCTGGGTGTCGGGAGCGCGGCGCTTGAATAAATTGCAAAACGTTCCAACGCAAGGGCGCTATTCTTCAGTAAATTGCAAGCAAGTCTCCAGCGAGAGCGCGACTCCAGAGCGCCGGGATAATGAATTCTAAGGAAATCCAAAGCGAGAGCGCGATTCCTGAATAAAACGCGAGGAAGTCTCGGGCGGGAGCGGGGGTCCTGGCTAAATTGTGAAAGTATCCGGCGGGAGCCGTTGAATTCTCATTTCTGAAAAATAATTATTGTTGATCCCCCCCCACCGGTGCATACTGTTGTTTCTCAATCAAAATGTGCCCTTCGACGCTCGCACCCTGTTTTTTGACAGGGAAAATCTTCCTGCTCAAACTGGGCCCTTTTATCCAGGAGTCGCGCTCTCGCTTGGGACTGCCTTACAATTTATGCAGGAATCGCTCCCACGGCGCTCTGGAGTCGCGTTCTCGCTGGAGACTTGCTTGCAACTTACTGCGTTGGAATTTCCTGCAATTTGCCCAAGCGCCGCGTTCCCGACACCCAGGCACCCAGGAGTCGCGCCCGTTGTGGCCCCATGTGCATGCCCTTCGTGGCCCCGCTGTCGCAATTTGTGTCCCCCTCACTGTCCTACGTGGCCCACTTGCTACCCTCAGTGGCCCCATATTTGCCTTCTGTGGCCACGCATTATCTGCACTTCGTGGCCCCCGCTGGTTCGCGCTCTTCGTGGCCCCATACGCATTCCCTTCGTGTCCCCGCTGCCGCCCTTCGTGGCCTACTTCGTGCCCTTCGTGGCCCTGCTGTCGTTCTCTCTCGCTCTCGCTTTCGCTCGTCGTCGCCGTCGTCGTCGTCGTCGCCGTCGTCTTCGACGTCGTCGTCGTCGTCGTCGTCGTCGTCGTCGTGGTCGGTCCCCTGTCCGTCCCTCTTGGGGTCGGGTCGACGGTCCGCGGCCGCCCCGCCGATCAGCGCTGCCGCTGGCCAGGCCGACGGTCCGCGGCCGCCCCGCCGCTTGCCGGGGCCCGGCCTGCAGGGAAGAAAAGTATACCCCCAAAAGGGGTTCGATCGACGACGAAGACGACGGCGGGTATCGAGGGTTTGGGAAATACGCGTTATTGGACACTCGAGCATATAAGGGCGAACAATCTTAAAATCATTGTTGTTGCTGTTGTTGTTGTAAACCGAGGGCCAACGACACAATTTGACCCTCAAGACTTTCCCTGATAAAAAACAGGGTGCGAGCCCCGGGAAGGGCACTTCAATCGAAACAAACAGTGTGCACCAGACGGGGGGATCAACAATAATTATTCTTCAGAAGTGAAAATTCAACAACAACAACAACATCACCAACACCACCAACAACAACAACACCACCACCAACAACAACAGCAGCATCAGCAAGAGCAAGAACAACAACACCACCAACAACAACCTCAATACCACCACCAACAACAACAGCAACGCTCCCGCGCATTACTTCCTAACAGTTTACTCTGGGAGGCCCTGGCCAGAGAGGGCCGAACCTCAGGAAGGGCGCTCTCGCCGAACCACAAGGGGGTCCTTCAGAGCAGTCTTGCCGCGACTTGCGGATGCTAGAACTGCGTTTTCGCTGGAGACTTCCTCGCAATTCAGCACCACAAAGGGAGTCCTTCAGAACCAGGTTGCTGCTGCTCGTGCGTGACAGAGCGGCCTTTTCGCTTGCGACGTCTTTGCAATTCAACACCACAAAAAGGGGTCCTTCAGAGCATTCTTGCTGCTACTCGCAGATGCTGGAACGGCTGTTTCGCTTGAGACTTTTTCTTGCAATTCAGCAGCACAAGAAAATCTGTCAGGGCAGTTCTGCCGCTACGCTACTTGCCGAAGCCCCAGAGGGGTCCCAGGACGCTCCAGGGATGTGTGTTCGGGGAGCGTTTTTCGACCCTCCTGCCCTCAGGGAGCCCCGGGAGGAATTTTCTGTATTGGGATATGGGTTCGGGGAGCGCTTTTCGGCCCCTCCGCTCCCAGGATGCCCCAACAAACACTTTTCTGTGTTTGGACCTGTGTTCGGGGAGCGCTTTTCGGGCCACCCCGCCTCCGGGAGGCCCCAGGAGCCCCCCAGAGGCCCCAGGAGGCACTCTTCTGTATCGGCATGCGTTTTTGGGGAGCGCTTTTCAGCCCTCCGTAGCCTTCGCCCCCTGGGCTTCGTCGTCGTAGGCTTCGCCGCCCCTGTCCTGGGGCCCGAATCCGTTGTCTTTAACGTATGTTCCTCTCGATTTCCCCTCGATTGGAGCTCGAATCTTTACATCCGTTCCTCGAGATTGCTCCTCTCCTGGGGCTCGAATCCTTCGTGTTTTGTGTATGGTCCTTTTGATACCCTTTCTCCTGGGGGTCGAGCCCTTCGTGTTTCGAATCCTCACCGCTCCCCAAGATCGCGCTGTTCGCTTATGTCTCGCGCGACGTGAAATTAGGAAAAGCCTCGGGAGAGGCGTTGGCTCGACCTCCTCGGGCGGGAGATCTGGGTGTGGGAGTCTCGCCCCCTTTTCATATCGTCCCCCCGCAGAGGGGGTGGCATCATGATGGATGCGTGTGGCATGTGGAAGCATGGCGCGTGCTTGCGAACCATTTCATTCTCACTTCTCACGAACAGCTATTGCTGACCCCCCCTTCCCTGGTGTACAAAAGGCTTTTTCAACCCAAGTGCTTCTCGCGGGGCGCGCACAACGGCTCTCGCCGTATACTCCCCGCAAAGAATTCCAGAATCGCGCTTTTGCGCAGGACTTCCTCGTATTTTTTTGAAACGCCGCGACCCCAATATTAAGGAACACGCTCTCGCTCTGGACTTCCTCACGGTCGTGCTGTCAATCGAGACTTCCTCGCAGTTCATGCGGGACTGACGCTGCAGCGACCCCGCCCGCTCGATCCCGCCGTCTGGGCCCACACGCACGACCCGGCCGTTTGGGCCCACCCGCCCGATCTGCCCGTCTGGTTCTGCCACGTGTTTTCTGCTCCGAGCCTCCTTCCTGCTAATCTCTCTTTCGTGCTCCATCCTTCTCCCCCCCTTTGTCCCTTCCTTCCATCCGTGTTCTCCGTCTTCATAGGTTCCTACAATAATATATTTCACTGCTGGAAGTGCGGCACAACAACCATCTGATGATCCTCAATCGTGCACTCTCTGGACTTCAAGGCCAAGAATCAAGTTTACTGTTGTGTCCTGCCGACCATGAACCGTGCCAGAACACCATTCCTGGGACTTCAACGCCGCGAATCCACGTGAATGTTGCGCCCTGGCAGCCCTAAATCGTGCTGAACACCAATCCTGGGAAGCCAAACATAAGCATCCAACAAACGGCTGACAACTTCAAACGACTGTGCGCGGCGCGAGGGCGCGAACCGTGTCTTTCAAACGAGCCGCCCTCCCTCCGCGAAGCGCTTGCCAACTTGTCAAGCCAGCGTGCGCGGCGCTGCTGCGAGACCCAGCTTTCGAACATCAGTCGCCGTCCGTCCTCCTCCATCCACAGACACTTGCATCCACCATCCGCAGAGCACCCTGCGGCAGGGAGGAGGAGTAGGAAGTAGGAGGACGAGGAGGAGGAGGAGTAGGAAGCAGGAGGAGGAGGAGGAGGAGGAGGAGGAGGAGGAGGTGTTCTGGCAGACTCTCAAGACGACTGCGCGCGGCCCCGAAGCGAGGACCCACCCCTTGACAACGAGGCGCCGCCCTCCACCCATGCAGCTCTTGCAAACTTCGAGACGCCGACAGGCGCGGCGCCGAGGCGAGAACGCAACACATTCTGAAACCATCCTCCCTCATGGTCTTCCTCCTCCTCCTACTCTCCTTCCTCCTCCTCCTCTCCTTCCTCCTCCTCCTCCTCTCCTTCCTCCTCCTCGTCCTCCTCCTCCCTGAAGAGGCTGGGGCTGAGCAGGAGGAGGAGGCCGGCGACCCAATTCACGTGCCACGCGCCCAGGCCGACGGCCATCGCCGCGACCACGAGGAGGGAATCCAGCGACGTGGTGCGCCCTCTTCTCACGACCGATGAAGGGGAGAAGAGGAGGACGATAAGGAAGGACAGGGGTGGCTCGAGGAGGGGCACGAGGAGGAGGAGGAGGAGGAGGAGGAGGAGGAGGAGCGACAGGAGGGGCACGATGATGAGGAGGACGAGGGGGAGCAGGAGGACGAGGAGGAGAAGAAGCCTCGAGAGGGTTGCTGAAGCATCCAGGGGGTATCCAGGGGATCCCACGAGAAGGAGCTGGAAGATGATAGTATATGCGGGTGGGAGATGAGACAGGGAGGATGATGAGGAGGACGACGAGGAGGCATGGAGGAGGGCCTCGAGGATGATGATGAGGATGATGGTGGTGGTGATGATGATGAGGATAATGATACTGGTGATGAGGCGGATGATGAGGGTGATGCTGATGACGGTGGCGGTGATGATGATGCTGATGATGATGACGATGCTGATGATGATGATGCTTACGATGATGATGAGGACAGCGATGCTGATAATGATCATGATGAGGCTGATGAGATGGACATGAGGATGAACATGAATATGAAAGTGATGACGATGATAATGGTTATGATGATGGTGGTGATGATGATGACGCTGGTGGTGATGAGGCGGATGATGAGGGTAATGATGATGACGGTGACGATGATGATGATGATGACGATGATGAGGGTGATGATGACGCTGATGATGGTGATGATGCTGATGATGGTGATGATGCTGACGTCGATGATGGTAATCGTAGTAATGCTGATGACATGGGAATGCATATGCATAGTGATATAAATTTGAAGGTGCTACTGATGATGATGACGATGATGATGATGATGATGATGATGCTGGTGATGCTGATGCTGATGATGCTGCTGGTGATGATGAGGCGGATGATGAGGATGATGATGCTGATGAGGATGAGGATGATGATGACGGTGACGGTGAGGGGGATGATTATGATGATGGTGACGATGATGATGATGATGCTGCTGATGATGATGCAGATAATGACGATGATGGTGGTGGTGGTGGTGGCGGAAATGATGATTGCGGTGATGCTCGTAGTGCTGATGCTGCTGCTGCTGCTGCTGATGATGATGATGATGCTGAATGTGATGATGGTGATGATGAGGATGATGATGATGATGATGATCTTGCTGATGATGAGGAAGATAATGATGATACTGGTGCTGCTGCAGATGGTGATGGTGATGGTGATGCTGATGATGATGACGACCATGATGCTGATGATGATACCGATCATGCTAAGGCTGCTGCTGATCTTAAATAGTACGAGACGGATGAGGCAGGGAGGAGGAGACAGGGAGGAATAGCTTCGAACGGCTGAGAGGCTCCTATGTGTACCCAGGGGGTTCACGAGAAGAAGTAGAAAGAGCAGGCAAGGGGAGGTGGAGGAGGTGGAGGGGGAGGAGGCAAGTTTCCCCCCCTGTTGTCTGTCTCTCAGGTGAGCCAGGGGCTGCTGCTACAACACAAACGCCCTCTCAAGGAGGGTACGCCCGCGAACTGTCCACTTCCTGGTGCCTCCGCCATGCATGTGTCTTGCCGCACGCGCAGGTTTCAAGCTACTCTGAAACTAAAACGAGACAGGGTGGGCGGGGAGGATGAGGGGGAGGAGGCGGGAGTCAGGAAGGAGGGGCAAGAGGAGGAGGAGGGAGGGGGGAGGTATGATGATGATGATGTTGATGATCATGATGATGATGATGATGATGATGATGATGATGATGATGATTATGATTATGATGATGATGATGATGATGATGATGATGATGATGATGATGATGATGATGATGATAACGATGACGATGACAATGACGATGACGATGATGATGATGATGATGATGATGATGATGATGATGATGATGATGGTGATGATGATGATGATGATGATGATGACGACTCTGATGGGGATTATGCTGCTGATGATGAGGGTAAGCAGGAGGAGCAGGAGAAGGAGGAGGAGGAGGAGGACGAGGACGAGGAGGCGGAAGAGGACCAGCGTATAATCCAAGATGCGTCAATGATGCTGCACCCTTCCGTCCCAAGCCCCCTCCTCATACGTCCCTGCAAGCTGTTCCACTGCAAGAAACGCACACCCGTTAAAGACCGGCGCAATTGGACCTGCCACTTTGGCGAGGGCTCCGCTTTGATAAGGGTTTGCCTTGCTTCCTTTTGCGGCGCAATCAGGAACGCGAAACCAACTACGACCATACAACTCAACGGGGCGTCCAGCGAGACCCCTCTTTCGAAGAAGGACCACCCCAAGCCAGCGTATCTGTTGCGGAATTTGCCATTGTGGTCCCAAACTTCAGAGCTCTCGCAGGCGAGAGCTTCCTTCTGAAACATCGTCGTGCTGGACCCGCGGAGCACAACACGTGGTGAAGTTTCGGGTCTTCCAAGTTAGCGATGTCTGGAGCGATGACTACACTTCTGAAGACCAATTCTCCACCAGTATGTTGAGCTTACAAGTGCATGTGCGCGACGCAGGGGCAAGAGCCTCATTTTGAAGACGACCTGCGCTCAATTCCTGATACTGCCGAGGATGTCAAAACGAATGTGCGCGGCGCTGAGGCGAGAACGCCACTTTGAAAAGGAACCATCCTTCACCTTTCAAGCTGCTGCACACTGTTAAAGCCAATGTGCGAGGCGCTACGGCGACAGCACCATTTTGGAAACGACCCCATCCATCCTTGAAAGTGCTGCAAACGCTTAGGAACACTGTGCGCGTCGCTCAGGCGAGAGCCACATCTGAACATGCCCTGTGTTCCATCGTTGTAGCTCTCGCAAGGATTTGCGACGAATGCGCGCCGCGCTAATGCGAGGGCACCACGTTGAGAAGGAACCACGCTCCTTCCTGAAAGCTGTTGCGCATTTCTAGAACGAGTGTGCGCGGCGCGAAGGCGAGAGCCCCATTTCAACACCGACCTGTGCTCCCTCCTTGCAATCGGTGCAGGCCTTGAAACACATGTGCGCCGCGCTGAAGCGAGAGCCACACTCTTGAAGCCACCTCGCTTTGTGCCTGAAGCTGCTGCGGTTTTCAGGCTTCAGCGTCACGTGCGCAGTGGGGAGGTCTCGGGCGAACCGCCCAGCCCCGCAGAGGATCACGCGGAGGACGAGGAGGAGACGGAGGAGTAGGATGAGGAGGAGGATGAGGAGGGGAGGAGGGGGAGGAGTAGGATGAGGAGGAGGAAGAGGACGAGGAGGGGAGGAGGAGGAGGAGGAGGAGGAGGAGGAGGAGACGGAGCGAGAGTAGACGGAGGGAGGCACTGGGACACGATGGGTGTGGGGAGGAGGCCAGTGGGCGAAGATGGCGAAACTAATTATGCCGACGACAGGGTTACGATGTAGAGCAAGACGGAGGATGCTGGTGACCATGATAACGATGAGGGTGATGATGACGGTTCAGTTGATGACGATGGGGCGTACGCCGATGATGCTGCAGAAAACATCGATGATGCGGATGATGTTGATGATGCGTGTGCTAATGATGACTATTCGGGCAATGATGGCGAATCTGAAGATGACGAGGAATGTGTTGTTGATGATGATGACGATGATGAGTCCGACGACGATGCTGCTAATGCTGATACATATGATGCTGACGCTGATGCATCTGATGCTACGGCTAATGTATACGACGATGATGACGACACTTGTGCTTTATACGACGACAGGTACCAGGACGAGGGCGACGCCGATATTGACGACGACGATGATTATGAAGATGATGATGGCGCTGCTGATGACTGACAGTGACGACAACCAATGTCGACGTCAACGGCAACGGTGATCCTGAGGATGATAAGGACGACGCAGACTCTGCTGATGACGAGGATGACGATGATAATGCTGGTGGTGACTATGATGACTGTAATGGTGATTGTTATTATGATGATGCAGACGACGATGACAACGACGATAATGATGACGATGATGATGCTGATGATGATTCTGATGCTGATGCTGGTGCTGGTGATGATGATTCTGATGCTGATAATAATAATAATGGTGACGCTGATGGTGATGATGATGATGGTATTGGTAGTGATGGTGATGATGCTGATGATGATGATAACGATGATGATGATGATGATGATGATGATGATGATGATGATGATGATGATGATGATGATGATGATGATGGTGATGCGTATGCTAGTGACGGCGATTCGGGCAATGATGGCGAACATGAAGATGACGAGGAATGTGCTTCTGCGGGGGGTGACGATGATTGGTACGACGACGATGCTGCTGATGATGATCGCGACGGTGATGCATATGATGCTGACGCTGATGCATCTGATGCTCCGGCAGATGTATGCGACGATGGTGACGACCGACAAGAGATACCGGGACGAGGGCGACGCCGATATGGACGACGACGATGATTATGAAGATGATGATGGCGCTGCTGATGACGACGACGGTGACAACGATGTCGACGTCAACGGCGACGGTGATGCTGAGGATCACAATGCTGACGAAGATTATGCTGATGACGAGGAGGACTACGTTGGTAACGCTTCTGATGATGAGGATGATGATGATGATGCTGGTGGTGATTCTGATGACTGTGATGATGATATTTATTATGATGATGCGGGCGACGATTACGACGACGATGATGATGACGATGATGATGATGGTATTGCTAATGATTTTGGTTATGTTGATGATGATGATGATGAGGGTGAGGATGCTGACGATGATGATGACGATGATGATGATGATTAGGATTATGAGGATACTGATGATGCTGATGATGCTGATGATGATGCTGATGATGATGATGATGATGATGATGATGATGATGATGATGATGATGATGATGATGATGATCGCGTGCGCTGGGAGCATAGTGCTCAACCGTACCGACACTCCGCCAACTGTCCCCCCTGGCGACACCACCGCCGAGGGGGGAAACCTGGCCCACCACCGTCCGGGGAGGGGTGGATGGGGCTTGTGCGTCAGGCGGCCCCGCACTGCGCCGCGGAGGAGGAGGCGAAGATGGCGGAGGAGGAGGAGGAGGAGAAGGAGGAGGAGGAGGAGGAGAAGAAGGAGGAGAAGGAGGAGGAGAAGAAGGCGGAGGATGATGATGAGGAGGAGGATGATGATGATGATGTGGAGGAGGAGGAGGAGGAGGTGGAACTAGTGCAAGAAGAGGCCAAAACCACGCCCAGAGGACCCGTCTTGAGGAAAGCGTGTGGGGAGGGAGATAGAGAGGGATGGCAGGGGAGGGTGCTTTGCTACTTTCTCCACTGCGCCCGATGCCACCAAATGCTCGATGCTGACGGCACACTCAATCTCTCCCGTGCTCTCCTCCTGATTATATGAACTCTCTTCCCATGAACCCCTTTGTCAATACTGCTCATCGATCGCCTCGCCTCCGTCCTGTCCTTCGCCTCCCACTTCCGTTCCTTGGCGGCGCGCACAAGGGGGTAGGGGGAGGGGGGAAGGCTTCTTAGAACCACCCCTGCTTCTTAGAATGCGCCGGCCCTACATCTGCAGAGAAGGCCCGCGCCTTCTCAGGGGCGCTTTTAAGAAGCCGTCCCCCCTCCCCCCACCCCCCTGTGCGCGTGGCCGAGTTCTTTCTCCCATCATCCCACTTCCTCTCCCGGGCGTGGCGGACAAAGGTCCTGAAGAGAGGAAAAAGCACGCCCTGCACCCTGGGGCTTCCCCCTGGACCAACTTTTCGATCGGATCTCCTTTTTGTTGATGATCGCGGAATCCTGGAGAACCCCGTACCCTCCAACACCGACTCCCCGGGTGTGCTCTCCGACCAGAGCTCCGAAAGGAATCCCGCGATGGCGGCGAGGAGCCTCGTGGAGACCCCCGCAAACTTGGCGGGAAGACAGAAACTTGGAATAATCTTAAGTCGGGCATGTCCCCCCACAAGGGCATACCCCAAATGATCAAAACATACCAAACAAATCGTTCCCATACTTTTTTTGTTGTTACTATTTTTCCCTACCTAGCCTCTGCCTAAAGGGTTCTTACTCTCTTTCTTAAAAGGGCCGGGCAGTGCACACCGCCCCGGGCGGTTCCCCCAGTATCCGCCCCGCGGTTCCCCCGGTTATGTCCCCTTAGCTTAGCGTCGCTTATATCATCTAAGCTTAGCTTATTACATATTAGCCTAACTTAGCTTCATCTTAGCTCAGGCTTATCTTAGCTTAGCTTACCTTCATCTTAGCTTCGCTGAGCTTTAGCATAACAGAGCACATCACAGCATAGCATAGCGCAGCACAGCATATCATAGCATAGCCCAGCATAGCATATCATAACATAGCGCAGCATAACATAACATAGCATAGCATAGCATAGCGCAGCACAGCACAGCACATCGCAGCATAGCATAGCACAGCGCAGCACAGCACAGCATAGCATAGTGCAGCAGATCATAGCATAACATAGCATAGCGCAGCATAGCATGGCATGGTATGTAATAGCATAGCAACTAATGCTGCTTTCCTAGGGGCTCCAACTTCTAGGTAGGGTCGCACTGGGGTAATTTAATCTTACTCCTGTAGAGGGACCGGCCCGACTTAACAATAATCCCAGTCCCCGTCTCAAAAAGCCCCAAAGTCAAGCCAGGCGCCCGAACGGCGCATAGGCAGGTTAGGCGGCTGAAATAACGCCCAACGCGTCTGCGACACAGTCCACCAGGTGCGCTGCCATCTGAAGGGGAGGAGGAGGGGAGAGGAGGAGTGGAGAAGGGGTCGGGGGCGCGCAAACTTGGATTAGCGATCCATGGGTTTGGCGAGCGGTCGCCTAATCCATGGATCGCGGAAGGTGCCCTCCCCAAAGCGCGGCCGGTGCCGCCTCGTTCGGCGGCGGAAATCAGCGATTTACCATGGAAACGGGACCCGTCGCTCATCCACGCCCCCCTGATCCATGTTCGCGATCGCCCGAGGAGTGGAGGAAGGGGGAGGGGGGAGGAGGAGGGGGGAGCCCCTTTGAAGACTCCAATCCCCCTCCTGCCCCCCAAGACCCCCCATCGAAGACCAGGCGGCCCACTTCACCCTGCCCGATCTGCCAGCGCGCGCGCGCGTCCCAGGGAGTGGCCAGAGAGGCCGCGCCCCCCCAACGGCGGCGGCCAGGAGCACGACCCAACGGCGGCTCCCCCCCCCCAGCAGATCATCGTAGCCACGAATGGCCCAGACCTCCTCGCGCTGTGAAGATGTCACGACGGGGCATTGTTTGCTATTTCCGGCCTCCGAGGACCAATACCAGGCCTCTGGGCCGTCAAAAAACCGACTCAGGATGAAACATCGTTCCCCAGGAAGGTGTCCAGACCTCTGGGCCAGGTTGCGTGCCCGAAGTGCTCCAGACCGGCGGTGCCACGGACGATACTCCATGCCGAGGAGGGCGAGGATGAAGCCGAGACCCCATGGTGGCGGCCAGGATCGAGACCGAAACGACGGCCGCCAAGATCAGGACCCGAGACTCAGGATCCGCGACGGCGGCCAGGATCCGTGCTTCGCGCTGAGCGAGGCGCGCTCGTGTCCCCCCCCCACCCCCCCACGCGCCGCCTGAAGGGCCTCTCTGCGGCTGGGGGCCGCGAAGCGCGAAGCACTGTGTCGAGGCGCGGCGCTGCCTGCCCCCCCCCCCCGTCCCCTCGGGCGCGGCCTAACCGACCCACCGCCCCCCAGCAAACCATCCCCTTCCGTGACGTCATCCTCGCCTCTCGGGCTCCCCTCCGGCCGCATACCTACGTCCTGGGGCGAGGCGGGGAGGACGCCACGGAGGGGGACGTTTTGCTACGGGTCGGTCCGGCCGCCCCTGACCCCCCCCCTCGGCCATGTACATGCAGGCGCGACCCCAGGCAGGGGTGGCCTCCTCGTCCCCCCCTCCTCCTCGTCCCCGCCAGGCAGCACAGCCTGCCCGGGACCAGCGTGGCGGCATGCTCCTCTCGGGCCGGGCGAAAGGGGGGGATAGCAAAGGGGGGTTTGAGAATCAGCTCACGTAGCTGCTTTTCCCTGCGCCTCCCGGCGCCGGGAGGCGCCCATGTATCGAGGAATGGGCCCCTCGGTGAGGCCGAAACCAGCTGCATGCAGCAAATTTCGTAACCCCCCTTTCCCAATCCCACCCTTTCGTGCGGCCCGATCCTCCCGGTTTTTTAAGGATTTCGGGCAGGGAGGGCCTCTGGTGCGCGGCGCGCCGACCGTTGACCACGCAGTGCGACGGCACCGGCCTCCGCGTGCTGGGGGCTGCCCTCCTCGCGCCTGCCCCCCCCCACCCGAAAGGCCGCGCACCAAAAGGGCACTCGGGGCGAGAGGTCACCCTTTCGCGCAGCCTTCGGTCGGGCATGTCCTCCCACTGGCGGATTTCGGAAGACAGCCCAAACATAAGCAACACATGATCAGGAATGGGCAGAAGAACAAAAAAAAGCGTCACCAGACTACTTGTCTACTATTCTTGAACCTCCCCCTGTAGAGGGACATGCCTGACTCAAGCGTAGCCGGTCCCCCCCTTCCGCTCCGAGACGGAGCGGCCCGGGCCGGCACCCGTGCCCCGGGGAGCGGCCGAAGCGGGCCTCCCCAAGGGCGGCGGCCATGAGCAAGGCGCTCGTCGCCAGCGTCGGGAGCCTGTTCCGCTGGTTCGCCTCTGCAGTGTGCCTCAGCTCGTCCTCTGCTGGGCGGGGAGAGGAGGAGGCGGAGGAGGAGGAGGGGGGAGAAGGAGGAGGAGGAGGAGGAGGAGGAGGAGAGGAGGAGGAGGAGGAGGAGGAGGAGGAGGAGGAGGAGGAGGAGGAGGAGGAGGAGGAGGAGGAGGGAGGAAGAGGGGGAGGAGGAGGGAGGAGGAGGAGGAGGGAGGAGGAGGAGGAGGAGGAGGAGGAGGAGGGGAGGGAGGAGGAGGAGGAGGAAGAGGGGAGGAGGAGGAGGAGGAGGAGGAGGAGGAGGAGGAGGAGGAGGAGGAGGAGGAGGAGGAGGAGGGGGAGGAGGAGGAGGGGGCCCAAGGAGAGGCGGCCGCGGGGATGGTCGCCGGGCAGAAAGGGATGCCCGCAGAGCTTGGAAAGACGCCCGCAGCGTGGATGGGGCGGCACTCGGTGAGTGCAGCCTAGGATAGGAGCTCGTGGGATGGCCGCTGAGCTTTGAAGGACGCCCACGACCGGGGGGGGGGGGGCGACACGCGGTGAGGGTAGTTCGCTGTGCCTTGGAGGTCGCCCGCAACCCGGGAGGATGGGTGGCCGCAATCTGGGAGGTGGGGGGGTGGGCGGGCGACACGCGGTGAGGGGATGGGGTGGGGTGGGCGAGGCGCTTCCTTTCTCCTGCCTCCCTTGTGCGCCACCCCAGCCATATGCACTCCTCTGGGCTGCCAGGTGTCCAGCCAGCCCGCCATCCCCAGGTGCGGCCCACGCGTCGGACCAGCTGCGATCCGGGCTCGCTCCCCCCTGGAGCTCCCGCGCCTGGTGCCTAGGCGGCTCCCCGACTCCCTCCTCCCCATGCGTGCCATGCGTGCTTGCCCCCGAGCCCCCCGCGGGGGAGAAGCGGGCCTCCTGAAGGCAGAACTACCCCCCCCCCCCCAAACCCAGACCCCCGACGTCGTGATTTTTTCATGACGTCGACTCCGGAAGTCTCGACCCATTCCCCGGGACCGGTTTTTCATCCTGAGTCGTTTTTGACGGTCTCGAGGCCTGAGAAGAGCCTCCAGAGGCCGCAAATATGGAAAAACTTGCCGTCATGATTTTTTCATTGCCCGAAGGGGTCTGGGGAAGCACCCCTTCCGCTCCCCCACTTCCCCCGGGAGAAGCGGCCCTCCTGAAGGCAGAGCTGCCCTCCCCCCGAGAGCCCCTGCGGCCCGGGCCTGGCCCCGCCGGTAATTACGCCTGGCAGCGCCGAGCCCTGCGTTTTTTCTCCCGCGGAGGGCTCGGCGCGCGCGCGCGGGCGTTGAGCGCCGCCCCCGTCCGCCCCGAGAGCGCCTGCTCCGTTCCTCGCACGGGACGCCCTGCTCCCAGACCCCCTCGGGAGGGGAAACAATCATGACGGGAGGTTCCTCCATATTTTCGGCCTCTGGGGGCCCTTACCTGGCCTCGGGGCCGTCAAAAGCGATTCGGGGCGAAACGCTGGTCCAAGGGAATGGGTCGAGACCCCTCGAAGGTCGACGCTGTGACAAAAAACCTTGACGTCGGGGGTCTGGGCTCTGCCCTCCCTCTGACGGGGCCCCCGAGCCGCACAGCGCCCGGCCTGCGCGCGCGACGCCGCGGGCCGTCGAGGTCCGCTATTCCGGAGGTGCGGCTGCGCCTGCCGAGCCCGGGCGCGGACGGCGCAGCCAGTTGCCGGATGTCCTCGGCGACGGCGGGAGCCCGACTCCCGGCTGGCGTGACCGGGCCGCTCACGGCGCAGCTCGTCAGAGGCCTCGCCCCAAAGCCCCGAAGTGCTCTGCAGTGCGCTCTCGTGTGTGAGGTTCTCAGGCCCAGTGCTCGCCATGCGATGCCGTGCTCTGCGTGCAGCGCGCCGAGTCCGACACCCGCCGGTTCCCTATCCGACAGCCAGCTCGAATGCCCGAGCGCTTGTGGCACCCCTCCTGCCGCTCGCTCGTCGCGGTGTTCGCAGTGCCAGACTCTGGGGGCTTCGCCTGAGGCAGCCGCAGAGGTGTGCTCTTTTGAGAACTGCATTCGGTGTCCGAATCGTCTTAAGACGCTCTACACACAGAACCCTATAGTGTACGGCTCAACATGGCCGGTTGTGTCGCTTTGCCCCCCCCTCCCCCTCCCCCTGGCGGTTGGAACTGGTACCAGTCGGTCAGAATTGGTTCCAGTCGGTTGGGATTTGTCCGACATGCGGTCCGACCCCCCCCCCATTTGAAGCGGGGGAGGGGGGGGCGGGGGTCTGAAAACAGACGTCCCATGAAGGGGGAGGAGGGGGGGGATTGTGCGAGCACTCCCGCCTCTACAATCAGAGGGGGACATCCACTTGCGCTCTCTCCATCTTCAGCATATCTTGGAGTTCTCTGCGGGATCCCCCCCTCCCCCCAAGAAGCTCGGTGTTTTTGAACGTCCCTGGACCTGCCCGAGGGCCCCTCTGCAGGTCCTACAAAAGCCACACGCCAACGGCGCTGCAAGCGCGCAGCCCGCTCCCCGGCCACGGGCGGAGGGGGCTCCTCCTCCTCCTCCTCCTCCTCCTCCTCTGCCTCGTCCTCCTCCTAGTCCTCCCAGACCCCCGACGTAATGATTTCTTCATGACGCGACCCCCAGAGGTCGGGCCCCATTCCCCCGGGACCAGTTTTTCATCCCGAGTCGTTTTTGACGGTCCTGAGGCTCGGTGAGGGCCCCGGGAGGCCGAACACAGTGAAAAGCCTTCCGTCGTGACTTTTGTTCACAGCGCGAGGGGGTCCGGGGGGAGGGAGGTCTGCGCTCGCGGATGGGGCCGTTGACGAGCCAGAACTCTGGCGCACCCGTGCGGCCGCGGGTCGCAGCACTCTCCGGTCTTCGTCCTCCTCATCCGGAACGCTCCAAGTCCCAGTCTGCAATACGTTCGGACCTGGGCCAGAAGAGCATCCTTCAAGAACGCGAGACCCACAGTCGGCCAACACAAACAGAACATGTGAGGCTACCCTCCTCAGGATGCACAATAATATCTAACAAACATGAAGAACGCTAGGGTACCCTGCCCGAGCCGACTTCGATCTTATACCTCGGCCCGACTGTATGCTGGTCTTCCATGCGATGCTAAAATGGGGTCGCCACAAGGGTTAGGTTCGGGCATGCCCCCCTATATGCGGATTTTGGATGAAAAATGAAAAATGCCAGAAAAATACTTGAACATAGTCAGAAATAGCGGAACAATCGTCCCTAGACAATTCTTTGACTATCTTTGAATATTCCTCCTCTAGAGGGACAGGCCCGACCTGACACCAGGGGGGTCGCCGCTTCCTCAAGGAAGCGCTCCTTCCCCGAGGAGACTCGGGGGCGCGCAAACATGGATTAGCGATCCATGGGTTCGGCGCGCGGTCGCCAAATCCATGGATCGGGGGAGGTGCCCTCCTCAAAGTGCGGCCGGTGCCGCCTCGCTCGGCGGCGGAAATCCGCGATTCCCAGAATGGAAACGGGACCAGTCGCTAATCCACGCCCCCTTGATCCATGTTTCCGATCGCTTGATTGCCCCGAGAAGCCGGGGCCCCTGGAACCCGCCGGAGCCCCCTCCCCCAGGCGACCCCGAACGTCCCCAGACCTCCACGAGAGCTTGGGCCCTGGCCCCTCGCCCCTCGGGAGGCACTTGGGCGAGTGGACGTCGCGGCCGGGCAGATCCCCCGAGAGAGCTCCGTGGGCTTCTGGGCATCGAACTTGGCTTCGAAAACGCGCAGTTCTGTCAGGAATTTTGGAAGCCGACCTCGACGTCCAAGGTCCAGACGCGCGCCGTGCTGTTTGAGGTCGGATTCGACTGCCCAAACACGCAGTCATTGTAGTTTCTTGGTGGAAGTCGAAGTCGACTTCCAGAAGCGCGCAACTATCTGTTGTTGGAAAGCTTGACTTCCAGAAGCAAACAGTTTTTTGACGTCAAATTTGACGTCCCCAAAACATGCAGTGTTGTGGCAGTCGAACTCGGCTTCCAGAAACTTGCTGCCAGAGGGCAAGACTTCGATTTGCGCACAGACAGCCCTCCCAAGTAGTCTGGGCTGGAATCGGCAAGCCCCATGAGGAGTCCCAGCTGGCCAAAACAGGCCACCGGGTAGTCTGGGGCAGTTTCAACACCTGAACCTGGGGCGCGGAGCGCCCCATGGTGTTGAGACCGCTGTGGGCCAAACGGAGATCCAGCTCGGCCTATCTGGGGGACCTATTGAGGCCAGCCGGGCCTACCTGGTGGGGGCTGTCCGTGCGCAGGCCGAAGCCTTCCCTGACCTTCTAGACTGCCTAAACATAGCTCTCCAGACCCTTGGGCCTATCCGGACTGCCTAAGACCTCGACGAACATTTAGACGTCAAGGCCCTGGTGTTTTATTTTTTTGCCCTCCTGGAAGGTCAGGGTTCCCACAGCCCAAACGTTTCAATTCGGGGGCGTCTAAGAGGGGGGGCGCAAATCATGGCCAGCGGCATGTGTGCGGCCCAGGGAATGCCAGGGACGTATTGAAATAAGAGGAGGCGCCACGAAATCTGGGGAGATATCGTGGCCCCGCCATGATATCCCCCCTAAGTCATCACCCCCCTGAGATCCGACGTTGCAAACATTGAAACATCGAGAGAACTCTCGCCCAGAGCCCTTGACACCATCTTTCTGGGTCTTTTTCCGAGCTGGATCGATCTGTGAGGGCGCCGGGGCCGAAAACGAGGCGAACAAAAACTGCAACGCCAGGACCTAAGGGCCCCCTCTTCGCCGTCCTGATTTTCATAATGTCGACTCTGGAGGTCTCGATCCATTCCCCAGGAACGGTTTTTCGTCCTGAGCCGTTTTCTGACGGCCCCGAGGCCCAGTGAGGCCCCCATAGGGGCCGAAAACGACCCCCAAAACTCCAGTCTCCTGGTTTTTTCACGGCACGATCATGTCTTTGAGCAGGGACCGACCGTCCCGGCATTCCTATAGGCCTACCACGGCATGTTCTTAGGACCCGAAGCTGTTCTAAGAACAAGGGCAATGTTCTTAGAACATAAACCCGATGTGTTAAAAAACAAGACCCAGCCAGAAAGGTTCTCAGAACATCTCGTGCAAACCACAAGCGCTTCTTAGAAAATTCTTTGGCGGGCCTATAAGCGAGCCGGGACGCTTCGCCACTGCTTGACTGGGTTTGCCGCCCCCGATCAGCCCAGACCCCGACCTCCCGATTTTTTTACAGCGTCGACCCTTGAGGGTCTCGACTCATTCCCCGGGACCGGCTTCTCGTCCCGAATCGCTTTTTGGCGGTTCCGAGGCCCAGCAAGGGCCCCCAGAGGCGGAAAACATGGAGAAGCCTCCCGTCGTGATTTGTTCGTTGCCCGAGGGGGTCTGGCATCAGTGGCCGGCTACACGCAAGAGTGACCCTGGGTAAGAGTGACCTTCGGTGCGCGGCTTCCTGGGACCGCGGGGGGAGGGGCAGAAGCAAACGCGCAAGCCGCCGCTGCCGCTTCTCTTTAAGCCGTCTGGGGGCCCACCTGCGCCCGCACCAGAAGCTCACTCCGGCGAGAGGTCACTCTTACGCCTCCTGGGTAGTCGAAGCCAATCTGGCGCCAATCTGGCAGGCCCAATCTGGCAAACAGGGGCAATCTGGCGAGGGAGCCAACGCGAATCCAGTCTGGCGAATAACCCAAATCATCCAGTTTGGCCGGGCCAGATTGGCCCTTGGGGCCCAATCCAATCTGACAGTCTGGCCTTCGACTACCCAGTCTCACGCCTCGTCGAGGTGGCCCCGCGCAGGGCCGGGGCACCTCGTGGCCGGGCGGGCGGGCCGTCCTCCGCGTCGTCGAACGACAGGCGGAGGCCCGAGGGCCAGCTGATGCTCCTCGCGGGCGGCTCGCAGAGGGCGGCGCCGCTGCCCGTGGCGCGTCCTCTCGGAGGCCCTCCCTCGGAGGCCCTCCCTCGGAGGCCCCCTCGGGAAGCTCCTCGGAGGCCCTCCCTCGGAGGCCCTCCCTCGGAGGCCCCCTCGGGAAGCTCCTCGGAGGCTTGTTGGAGGCCCCTCGGGGGCCTGTCGGAGGCCTGTCGGGGGCCCTCGGAGGCCCTCGGAGGCCTCGGAGGCGTGCAAACCCCTTCGGGCCATGACAAAATCACGACGGGATTTTTTTCGCTCTTTTCGGTGAGAGCCTCGGGACCGTCAAAGAACGTCTCAGGATGAAAGCCCGGTCCCGGGGAACGGGTCTGGCCCTCTGGGGACCGCGTCGCGAAACAGTCATGACGTTGGGGGTCTGGGATGCAGGGGCCTTGGGAGGCCATGTCGACACTCTGCGAGCGGTGCGTGGCTGCTGGGAGCTCCCGGGGAGCCCTGGGAGCACCTGGGGAGCCCCTGGGAGCTCCAGAGGAGCCCTGGGAGCACCTGGGGAACCCTGGGGAACCCTGGGGAGCCCGAGGTTGCGCCGAGGGAGAAGGCGGCAAGGGTCACCTGGGCAAGTTGCTCGTCGTTGCCATGCGGGTTAAAAACTGCCCCCAGCGAGGAGGCCGAGCTCTTCAAGGCCCGCAGATAGGGAAACTCACACCGTGGGCGGCCACGAGCAGGGCCGATGCCAGTGGAGTCGAGCCGCCAACATCGGCCACGCTCGACACCGGCTTTTCCCATCATCATGTCGCCCTGCCAGCAGGGCGGTCGCGGGCTGCCTGCCGAGATCGCTGGTTGAGCTCTTGGCCTCCTGAGCTGGAGACACCGTTGTCATTCTCCCGCCCTTCCTGCTCGAGTTGGGCCCTCGTTATGAGTACGGTCACGAGGCGGCCGACTCACGATGAGGGTTCCCACCTCGGCCTGAGAAGAGCCTCCGAGGCCGTGTTGCACTTGTATTCAGGAATAGGGGGGGCAGCATGGGTGAAAGTGCAGACGAAGCGAGACGACGCCGAGACGACAACGGCGCGGTGGCATTCTTCCACTCAGGGCGCTTCCGCGGTTGCAGACGGCAACGGCGACGGCGACGGCGACGCCGTCACCGCCGCCGCCGATGACGCCGACGACGCCGACGACGACGACCCCGTTGCCGCCGCCACCGTCGCCGCAGCCGCCGCCGCCGCCGCCGCCGACGACGACGACGACGACGACGACGACTACGACGACGACGACGACGACCGTCGCGCACGGGTTGCCTTCCAAAGGTCTCTGGGCGTCTCTGGAGCCTCCCACGCAGGCACCCGGAGTCCAGCAGAGGCCTGCAGGGGCCCCGAGGAGGCCGGCAGCGCCCGAGGACCCCGAGAACCTCGAGCCTTCTATATCTCGCGCCATCGGCCCTACGATTCGCTGAGGGGGCTCCCGCGGCGGTCCAGGCGGAGCCGCCAACCGACGACGACGACGACGACGAACCGACCCAAACCGCCCACAATCAATCTCTGGACAAGGCGGATTTGTTCACCGACGACGACGACGACGACGACGACGACGGCGGCGGCGGCGACGACGACGACGACGGACCCACCCAAATCCGTACAACAACAGATTCCCCGGACCCATCCGTGGAGTCCATCCTGGCCACTCTTTCGGCCTGCGCCCCGCCGTGGCGATGCGAGACCCCGGGAAAGCCCCCACCTTCCGAAACGATGGCGCCGTCGTCGCCGCCGACGCCGCCGTCGCCGTCGCCGTCGCCGCCTCCGCCTTGGTCGTGGTCGTCGTCCTCGTCGTCCTCGTCGTCGTCGTCGTCGTCGTCGTCGTCGTCGTCGTCATCGTCGTCGTCAAGTCGTCATCGCCTCCGTCAGTGTCATTTCCCTCAGGGCGCTGCTGCGGCGGTCCTGGCGGAATCGCGAACCAGCGTCCACTGCAGGTTGTTGATCGGCAACTCCACGAACAGCGTCTGACGCGCGCAAGGGGTGCTGCATCGGAGGCCCCAACGAGCGGGGTGAGCCTGGCTCGCATTGCCACGGCTGGACGCAGCCCGAAAAATTGGCCAGGATGGACCTTGAGAGGGGTCCAGGGATTGGTGTTGTACGGATTCGGGTCGGTCGGTCGGTCGGTCGGTCGGTCGGTCGGTCGTCGTCGTCGTCGTCGTCGTCGTCGTCGTCGTCGTCGTCGTCGTCGCGGTCGGTTAGCAAATCCGACTGGGGCGAACGAGGAGGAGGAGGAGGAGGAGGAGGAGGAGGAGGAGGAGGAGGAGGATGAGGATGAGGAGGAGGAGGAGGAAGAGGAGGAGCGAACGTCCCCGGGGGCAAGAATCTTCCTCTGGCCCGCTACGCGTTCGGCCGCGCGCCCTCTGGAGCACTCGGGGGCAAGGCATCGTGGTCGGCGGCAGAAATGGCGAAGCCGTCGGCGTCAGCGAACGCAACCTGCGACACGGGGTCGAAGGGCGTGTGATCGGGGAAGGCGCCCTCGACGACCTCGGAGGCGACGAAGACAGGATCATCAGCAGTGTGAGAATGAGCCCCAGCAGGGGGCGAGGCGGCGTCGATCACCTGGGCGCTGAAGGTGGGGTCGCCATCGCCCTCCAGGTCGCACTGCATCGCGTCCTCGTCCGTACAGAGTTCGAGAAATTCAGGCTCATCATCGTGAAGCTCCTGAACACCAGGCTCAGGGAGAAGTTCCAGCTCAGCATCAGGTTGTAGCTTTTCGTCTGCTTCCAGGCGGCTGGCAGGGTTGTTCAGCATCCACTGAACCAGCTCCCTCTTGCCCGCCGAAATCACGGGGTACAGGATGCTCAGGGCACGAAGAGCATTCTCGAGCTGTTGACCAGAAATCGCATCAGGATGGGCAGGAGCCGCAGGTTGTGCAATCGTCGTAGGGCTCGCTGACGATTAGGCTACCGACGCTGTTGCTGACGAAGACGAACGAGGAGGAGGAGCAGCAGCAGCAGCAAGAGGAGGAGGAGGAGGAGGAGGAGGAGGGGGAGGAGGAGGAGGAGGAGGAGGAGGAGGAGGAGGAGGAGGAGGAGGAGGAGGAGGAGGAGGAGGAGGGGGAGGAGGAGGAGGAGGAGAGGAGGAGGAGGAGGAGGAGGAGGAGGAGGGAGGAGGAGGAGGAGGAGGAGGAGGAAGAGGAGGAGGAGGAGGAGGAGGAGGAGGAGGAGGAGGGAGGAGGGAGGAGGAGGGAGCGCGGAGGAGGATAATAGAAGGGGGGAGAGGAAAAAGGAGAAGGAGGCATGCATGCAGTTCCCGGGGCCGGCCTTGCGAGTGGCAATCCCGGTGCTGTGTCAAGTGCACGGGCGGGCACTTCGGCTGGCGAGGCTGCCGTTCTGGCAGAATTGGAAAGCGAGCAGCAGAACCCGAAGCTGCCGCTGAACATGTCGAAGTTGCCGCCGAACTCGGAGGTGCCATGGTCCACGAAGCCGCCGCCGAAAGTGTCGAGGTTGCTGCAAGCGACGAAAAGGCAGGCTGCCTTCTCATCGCCCGCGTCCCAGACCGGGGGCTGAGTCCCCGTTCCTCTGGCGAACACTTTTGCAGGTCGCTGTGGCCAGAATCGGGGGGGCTGAATCCCCGTTCTTCTGGGACTGCCGTACTCGCCGTCGGCGTTGCCCTGCAAAGGTTCCGGCGATCTCGAAGCCGAGAGAGCCGCAGAACCCGAAGCAGCTGCAGCAGATGCCGATGTTACCGCCGAGCTCGAGGATGCCATTGCCCACGAAGTTCCGCCGAAGGCGTCGAGGTGGCTGCAGGCTTCGACGAAGATGCGGAGAAGCTCGCAAGGACTGTCTCCCCATCGTCCCACGGGCTGGTGGCCAGGGGAGACACCGCGTCCAGCAGCGGGGACTGAATCCCCGCTCCCCTGGCGCATTCTTTCGCCTCGCCGTCGTTGTATTGGGAGGCCGCTGTGGCCAGAGTCGGGGGCAGATCCCCCGTTCCTCGGGGGCTGCTGTGCTCGTCGTCGGCGTTGCTGAGCTCGAATGTCGAGGGGTACCCGCGAAGACGCCGAAGTCGCTGTAGATCCATCATGGTGTAGTCCACCTTCAGCGTGGTGCCGAAGCTCACCATGACCTCTGCCGCGTAGCATGAATCGTGAACTTGTTTTTGCAACCGGAAAATCATCAGTAACATGCCCTCGTAATGCTTCCGCGTCTTCTCATCGCCTCCGCGCCTCGTGGCCTGCCTCGCGGGCTCGCGGCGCCTGGCGAGTCGGCGCGCTTCTGCGAAGTGGTGGAAGTAAGGTGGCATGCCTCTCTGGCGAGATCCCGCTGTAGGGAACCGTGTCCCTATGACGCCCTCTGCTGGTCTGGATGGTGCGTTCAGGCCGCGGGAGATAGGGGGAGGGCTGGGGTCTTCGCCCTGTCACTAAACGACACTTGGCCGCGGGAGGGGGGGGGGGGCTCGCGCTAGTTGCCCGTGGTTCTCGTCCTCACTTGTGGTTCGTCGCCAGTGCTCCTCGTCGCCGCGCTGCGGGTGCTCGCGCTGCTCGTCGCCGCCGTGCCAGCGCCCTTCTCGTCGCTATGCAGCGCATGTGTGGGCCATGGCGCGGTCGTTGGAGCCGCCGCGGCCCAGTCCCCTGAGAGGGGCCTGTCGCACTCATGCTCGTGGCCAGCACTGTCTGGAAAAAGCCCCTCGCGCACGGCGCTTTCCCGTGGCTCCCTGAGAAGAGCTATGCGTGGCAGCTGCTTGTCACAGCCGGGCCGCTGCCTTCTCGCGGGCGCGCCTGGGGTCCCTGCCTTCTCGCGGGCGAACCCAGGCCCGGGGGGGTTCTCGAGCTCGGGTCACTGCCTTCTCGCGGGCGCGCCCGGGGCCCCTGCCTTGTCGCGGGCGAGCCCGAGCCTCCAGGGCTGCTCGCCCAAGTCCGCCGAAAGCGGACGTCTGGCCAGCCGAGCCTGCCGCGAGGAGGCCTCTTGCGCCGCGCCCGCCGCGAGCGGGCCTCTGGCGCCCGCCTGCGGTGTCTGCCGCGGCGCGCCCTCTGGCGTGCCACGCCTGCCGAACAGAAGCCCCTTGCATCCGTCTGCCCGCCCTCCCCGTCGCCACCGCGCCCGCTAGCCGCGTCGGCATCTGATCGCGCTCCGCGCCGCCAAACCGTCAGCCAAGTCTACTGAAGGGAGATTTCTGGCTCCAGTGGCTCCCTGAGAGGAGCTAAGCGTGATATCTGATACTCGCTGTCGCGCCGCTACCTTCCCGCGGGTGCGCCCAAGGCCGCTGGGCGCCCGCCGACTTGCAATCTCCGCCGCGCAGGGCGGACTCGGCTCAAATGAATAATTGGCGCCGGAGGGCGCCGCCGCAACCGAGAGTCGCACTTTTAGACAGCAGAGGGTGCAGCGCGCTCAAGTGCGCCATTGGTGTGTTCTGGACGCCGCCGCGCCCCGGAATCCGAATCGGGCGCGGCGCGCTCGCAGAGTTGAAGAGCGCAGGGCGGTGCCGCGGCCCCGGGTCGCAGTCCGAGCCCGCTGTGAAGGCGCGGCCCGTTCGCGTGCGCAGCTGGCGCCCGCAGGGCTCCGCTGCGACCCGCCGTCGCCGCCCGCGCCCGCGCAGGTAGGGCGCGCCGCGCTCGGGCGCGCAGTCGGCCCCCTCAGGTCGTCGTCGAGGCCCAGAAGTGCAATCTGAACCTTCAGGGAGCGCAGCGCGCTCAAACGCGCAAATGGCGCCCCTTGGGCGCCAGCGCGACCCAGAATCGCAATCTGAGCCCGCGGAGGGCGCGGCGCGCCCAAATGCGCCACCGGCGCTCGCGGGGCGCCTCGGCGACCAGGAATCGAAACGCGAGCCCGCGAGTGGTGGGCCACCAATGCGGCCCGCCAGGCGCCGCTGCGACCCAGAGTCGCAATCTGTGCCGCAAAGGAAGGGCTGGGCTCAAATGAGCAACTGGCGCCCGCAGGACGCCGCCGCGGGCCGGAGTCGGCAATCTGCGCCCGCAAAGGGGGCGCCGCGCTCGAATGCTCGATTGGCGCGCGCCGGGCGCCGCCGCGACCCGGCGTCGCAGTCGGCGTTCGCGAAGGGCGCGGCGCGGTCAAACGCGCGCTCGGCGCCTGCAGGGCGTCGCCGCCGCGCGCAAGCAAGGCGCAGCGCGCTCAAGTGCGCGATTTGCGCCTGATTTGCGCCTGCAGGGTCTCCGCGACCAAGGGTCGCAATCCGAGTTTGCGAGCCCGCAGCGCGTATGGATGCACACTTTGCGCCCGTCGGGCGCGTGCGAGACCCGCGAGCCCGCGGCGCTCGCGCTAGCAATTCTGCCGCTGCGACCCAGAATCGCAATCTGCGCCCGAAAAGGGCGCAGCGCGCCCGAGGGCGCAATTTGTATCAGTGGGGCGTCGCAGGGAGCCAGAATCGTAATCTGAGGTCGTGAAGAGCGCGGGCCGCTCAAATGTCAGACGTGGCGCCCGCAGGGCGCCGTTGCGACCCGGGGCCGCAATCTCTGCCCGCGAAGGTAGCGCCGCGCTCGGATTCGCAATTTCGGCGCCTGCAGGGCGCCGCGGGGGCCCGACAGCGGCGAAGTTCGAGCCCGCGAGGGAAGCGCCGCGCGGAAACGCGCAGGTGGCGCCTCGCGACCACCGCCGCGACCCCAAATCGCACTTGGCCATTCAGCGTTCATATGCGCCCGACAGGCAATCGGGTCCAGAGCGAGCCACGTGGCGCTCAGACGCGAATGCTGCGCCGTGGGCTGCTGGACTAATCCGGCAGGGTCTGGATTGGCGCTCTGGGGCCAAATCGGAACACTCCGCGCGCAGGAGGAAGCCGCGCATTTTGCGCTCGCGACAGCGCGCCGAGGTTGGGCAGCTCCGCGCGAGCACGGCCGCCAGGACGCTTGGCCACAACCAACTTGCGCCTGGGTCGGCTTACATCGCGCTTTGACGCGCAATCTTCGATTGCACTGCTGAAGCGTTGGCGTCAAAGTAGGCGAAGACTTGTGCTGGCGCGCATTCTGCGCGCGAAGAACGTTGACCAGCGCAGATGGAGGCCTGATGGGATCTCTCGTCTGGAACGAATCATTGTGCGCTGGAAGCGCGTTTGGCGCTCTCACTGGCGCCAGAGCGCGTCGAGGTCGAGGTCGAGCGATTTCTGCGACAGCATAGGCGCTGGGGTGCCAGGTCGCAGGCGCTCTCTGTCCCGGCTGGTCAACCGAGCGCAGTCAGCGACTGCTGGGGCATCTCTGATTAAACGCGCGCAAAGGCGCTTCTGCCGCGCGCAGCGTTGACGCTGACCGTGTGCAGTTGGCTTCTGAGCGATTCGCGATTGCTCTGCCAAGGCTGCTGCGCTGTCTGTCGGCTCCTGGTGCATTGGGTCGCGGATGTGTATCCAGAAGACTCCAGCCAGGCAGCGCCCACTGCAAACCCCTTGCTGGCGCCAGGGCGCCGGCCAGTTTTTAGCGAGGGCAAGGGCGACATAATGATTTTGAATCATCAGCTTGTTTCTGCAACAGGAGAAACATCAGGGACATGCCCTCGCGATGCTGCCGTGTCTCCTCATCGCCTCCACGCCTCGCGGTCTGCCTCGTGGGATAGCGGCGCCCAGCGAGTCGGCGCGCTTCTGCGCTGCGGTGGAAGTATGGTGGCATGCCTCTCTGGCGAGATCCCGCAGTGGGGACCCGTGCCTCTATGACGCCCTCTGCTGGCCTGGCTGGTGCGTTCAGGCCGCAGGGGGTAGGGGGCGGGTTGGGGTCTTCGTCCATTCTGTAAACAGCACGTTGCCTTGGGGGGCTGGCCACTCACGCTCGTTACTCGTGGTTCTCGTCGTCTCCCTGTCTCTCGCGTAGTTCACCACCTGATCCGTTATGCTGTGGCCGCGGTTCAACATGAGGCGCGCCCTCTCGTGGAGGCCCACAGGAGCGGAAAGAAGCGACGCGCAGAACGCGTCGAAATCCTCGAACGAACCTCCAAGAATTTCAGGCATAAAAAATCGAAGACTTCAGTCCCTCCAGAATCAGCATCAACACCATGAGAGAGAAGAGCGGCGCCACCGGAGACCGCGGCCGCGAGGAAACACGCGCCGATAAACATCACGATCTTCGAACTGTGTGAGGCCGGCCTCGAAAGCGTAGTCGTTGGTGTTGGCTGGCTGTCCAACCTCAGGGCGTGTCTCGTCAAGTTGCGCTTCAGCTGCAGGGGCAGTAGTGCCACCAGCTGCCTGCGGACGCGAAGTGCCAACTTCGCCATGCACAAGGCGGCCACCTGCCATAGCTTCGAAGACGCAAGGACCCGCTTCGAAGTCGATATCGCGCAAGAAGGATTCCAAAGCAGCCACCTCCAACGGCGACGATGTGAAGGCAAAAGTCCCGAACGAGCGCCCTGCGGAAGAGCACGTGGTGTCGCCGATAGTGTAGTCAACGTGCGGGGCGTTGTTGTGCTCCGTGGAGTAGTCCGTGGTGTCGCCTGTGGCACACGGGGCCGCGTCGGAGTCTGTGTAGTAACCATAGCTTGCGTGTGGCAGGACATCAATGAGTTCAGGTATGGCCTCGGCGTTGACGGCCCCGAGTGTAATCATGGGCAGCAGGGCATAGGGGAACATGGGCTCATAGTGCATTCCAGCTTGACGGGACTAGGCTTCAGGGCGAGGAGTTCGCTGAGCTTGAGCTGCAGTGGCGAAGAGCGCGAGCCGCGGGGCACCCAGCCAGCAGGACGGGCTTCAATTGGAATGCGGTGTTTGTCCCGACCGTATCGGGAGCTAGCAACTCGGAAACATGCAATGCAGCCATAATGATAAGAAGCAGCAGCATGTTGAATAGCGTGTCGAACACTATGAGATGTGAAGCCGCTCGCGCGTTGCGGGTCGGCGTGGAACGGCACGCCCGCGACTACTTCCTTCAGGATGTGATGTAAGATCTCGGAGACCATGAGCAGGCGATACCCGTCGGGGACATGCTTCTTGAAGCCCAGCTCCAACGCCCGTCGCCTCCTGAGAGCCTTCGGCGCTGCTGGGCGAGAGTGCGCCACGCAGAGCAAATCACCACCGCCCCATTGCCAGAACAGCAGTAAGGGTAGCAAGGCGCGCCACCATCAACATGCAAGGGGTGCGGAGTGAGCGGCCCGCGCGCCTGGCCTGAGACTTGAGCCAAAATGGCAACGGAGGAGGAAGAGGAGGAGGAGGAGGAGGAGGAGGAGGAAGAGGAGGAGGAATAGGAGGATTGATGAGAAGGTGTAGGCGGTGTGGCGGCTGTGGAACGGACGCAAGAGAGGTTGCATTCACAGACTCCTGACTGCGCCAGCAATCCAGCTGCAGAGCGGTACGCACTAGCGCTCCAGTCAGAGGGAATCCTCCTCCTTCTCACCCTGCCTCTCCGGGGGAGGGCGCAAGAAGCGCAATAAACCCGCGCACCGAAACCCAGACCTCCAGATCGGGGGGTCGTGAATCGGGTGCTGCCAGAGGCGGTCGTGGCCCGAGGTCTTCCTGGCTCTTCTCGCCACTTCGGGGGCCTCCTGGGGTCGGAAGGAAGTCCCCGCTGCTCTCCAAGCCGACCCCTTGAGGAGGAGGAGGAGGAGGAGGAGGAGGAGGAGGAGGAGGAGGAGGAGGAGGAGGAGGAGGAGGAGGAGGAGGGAGGAGGAGGGAGGAGGAGGAGGAGGGGCCTCCTGGGGTCGGAGGGGCCTCCTGGGGTCGGAAGGAGACTTCGGGTAGCCTTACCGCCCCGCCCTGCCTCTGGCTGCCCCCCCCCGGTCCTGCGGGCCCGCCGAGGGGCAGCCCAGATCGCCTTCGGGGGCCGCCTCTGCGCAGCCCTGGGCCTTTCCACTGCTGGGCAGGCTCTGCCCACGATGGTCGGCAATCGATGCCAATTCGCTTGGATGTTTTTGGCGCTGTGGTGGGCCTCGGGAGGTCTGCAGGGGCCTCTGCAGTCTCTCGGGCTGCCCTTGGGGCCAGGATTCGGGGCGGCCCTGAAGCTTTCCTCTTCCTTGCTGCACTTCCTCTTTCTCCTCCTTCTCCTCTTCTTCGCGCTCCCCTGCCACCGCTGCCTGATTCGGGCCCACGGTCGCCCTGAACTTCTTCTGGACACCGTTCGTCCGCTGCTCGAAGAGCTCCGCCCTCGCGGGGGCGAGGCCGAGGGGGGAGACGCTGGTAGGCGGGACTGAGAGCACCGACCACAGAGGGAAGGAAGGGGATTGACCGACCCGCCCCAATCTTCTGCCCCAAGTGTTCGCCCCCTGGCATGCTGCGCGATGGTGGCGGAGAAGAGGGCGACACGAGAACCACCACAGGGAGCAGACACGGAGGAGAGCGAGCAGCCGCAGGGTCAAGGCAGCAGACGCAGCGAGCAGAGCTCAGAAGAGGGGGCATGGGTCGGCAGACATTGCAGATGAGCCGAGACTGGAGCGCGGGGACACACAAAGACACGGCAACCGCGGATGAGATGGGCTCAGCCTGCCAAGAGGCCTCGAAGCGACGCTTGCGCTGGGATGGAGGTGACCCCCTTCTCTTCGCGACAGCAGCTGGAGGAACACCAGCCGACACAAACATCAACTGTCGGAGGTCTGCGGGGATTTTTTGGATCGGCGCTGGACCCCCCTCCTTGGCGCGCGGAGCGGGGTCCAGCGCGGACCCAAGAACCCCGCGCGGACCTCCGAAAGTTGATGGTTGCGCTTTTTTGCATTTTTGCTTTTCTTCTTCTTCTTCGTTCAGTGGGCGCCTGCGCACGCGGGCCGCCCCGCATGGTGGGCCCTCGGGCCAGGCGCCATGCCTCGGGAACCGAATGGACGGGGTGGGGGCGGCCTCGCCTCAGAAGAGGAGACGCCCGCCTGGATTCGACGAGACCTCGCCGACAGATCGGCGACAGGCCTCCCGGGTGGCGAAACGACACGTTCCCTGGCAGGGCCGGGCACCGACCCCCCGATCGGCGATACGTGGGCGATCAGGGCTCGATGCCCCTGCCGCCACGAGCCAATGTCGCTTCCCTTAGCGCGCCCCTGCTCGGATGGGGCGCCAGGCAGGGCGCTGATGGTCCGCTGGCCCCTGTGTCTCACGCTTCGCGCGCGGACCCCTCCGACCCAGAGGGGTGGCCCGTGACCAGCGTTTCGCGACGGCGGCTTCCAGCAGCCATGACAAACGCGCCCTGCTGCTTTCAACTTCGGGGACAGGCACAGGATGAGAGGCACCTATCGTGGTCTGGGCTTGAGCCTGGATCATGCCGCGGGCGCTCTGGCGCCGACGCGGGCGTGCTCTGGCCATTTCCGTGTGGTGTGTCGTCGTCGCCGTCGTCGTCGCCATCGCCGTCGTCGTCGCCATCGTCGTCGCCGTCGCCGTCGCCGTCGCCGTCGCAGTCGCCGTCGCTGTCGCCGTCGCCGTCGCCGTCGCCGTCGCCGTCTTCGTCGTCGTCGTCGTCGTCGTCGTCGTCGTCGTCGCCGTTGTCGCTCCTGGCGCTTGGGAGGGGAACGGAGCAGCAACTATAGATCCCGCCAGCGTGCGTCGGTGGCGTGCGGACCAGGTGGGGGCACCCGCAAAGACAGTGGGGACGTTCACCAATGATGGGTGTGGCCACGAACAGGCTAGGAGTGCATGGGTCATCGCTTGGCCTTGGCACATGCCTGGACAAAACACGCGACTGCCCCACAGCCTGATCGAATCCAACCGATGGTCGCGTAGGACCCTGCTGACAGCCCATGCCTGCGCTCCTGCGAGTAAGGTGTAGTCATAAGCGAGCACATCGGAATCTTATGACGATGAGGGTAGTGACAGCGAGTAGGAGTAGCATTCATGAACGAAGGAATTGCTCGGCGATGATACCAGAACTGGAGGACGCCCTCATGGAGACAGAGTAGGCGGGGTTGGAGGATCGCACCGGATGCAACGGCGACGTCATGATAGAGAAACTTGGACTCCAGCTCGAGCCGCATCGCTCCAAACCCACTTAGGCGGTCAAGAAGGCCGTCGCAGCGAGTTTTCACCACGGGTGAAAACCAAACGAGGACGCCAGGGATGACACGAACAGCATAATTGTAGAAACCATTTCGGGCGCGACGTTCTCCACCGGCAGGCCTCGGCCTTAGAGCCCTCGTCCGCGTGCGCAAGAAATCGAGCGACACTCTCGAGACGCAGAGACAGCGACGATCACTTCTACGCATGGGCTCTACGAGTGCTCTGTACCTCAGCCTCCTGCGGCCAAGAACGTTTGCCTAGCGTGTCGCGCCGCTGGTTCTGGTCCACCACGCTTGGGCGCGACCCGCTCACCACGTCACCAAAGATCCCATTTCGCAATTTTTTCAATCCGGGGCCACCAAAAGTCTCGACCCTTGGACCAGTTTTTCATCCCGAGTCGGTTTTTGACGGTTCCGAGGTCCAGTAAGGCCTCTAGGGGCAGAAACAAGCGAAAAACTTCCATTGTAATTTTTATCAATGCGCTGGATCTCTGTGTCCCTGTCCTCAAGCTCCACCGCTCCGAACTCTTCCCAGCCCCCCGTCCCGCGAACACGCCACGCGGAAGTTCCCGACCACACCTTCGCCTCCCCGCGCCGCGGGAAGGGCGATGGCGCTGTCGTCCTCGCGCTTGCGTGCGGCCCCCCTCGGGCAAGAACGAGGCTGCCGCCCGGATATGACAAACTGGAGGGTTCCAAAAGGGGCTTTTGGGGAGGGGGTTTTCCAAGAGGGGTCCCCCAGGGGCTTCGCACCCCCTGCTCTGACGAGGTTCCGAGGCCCCCTGGGGGGGGCTCTCTGGAAAACCCCTTCCCCAAAAGCCTTCCTTGGAGCCCTCCAGGACAGAGGCACGGGCCAGGACAAGACCAGGCCGGGATTCGTCGGGGACCTCCGAAGTCTGGCGCTTCGGGAGGAGGCATCGGGCGCCGCGGCCGCTCCGGGACGCCCTGGAACGCTTCGGGAGCGCTCTGGATCGATCTATCCCAGCTCTGTCCCGACAAGGATTCGGTCGGGCACGTCCTCCTACGGGCGGATGTTGGACGCCAATTAAAAATAGCCCACTTCGAACATACTTAAACACAAAAGAAAATCGTCCCAGACTATGTTTTAGGGGACTGAAATTGGCATAAACATACGAACTCAGAGGTCCGCGCGGATTTCTTGGATTCGCGCTGGACCCCCCTCCCTGGCGCGCGGAGCGCGCCAAGGGCGGCGCCGGAGGCGCCGCCATGGGGGCCCCAGCGCCGATCCGAGAACTCCGCGCGGACCTCCGAATCTTTGTGGTTATGTTTTTGTTCGTTCCCCAACTTAGCTGCCCCAATACGCAACACGCAACACGTAGCGTGCTGACACGGAGCTCAACACGTAGACTAAATACGCAAATATGACGCGGTACGTTCGCCTAAACGTGGGCCAATACGCTGAGCCAACACGCAACGTATTGACGCGGACGTCTTGAGCACGGTACGTGCTGCGTATCAAAACGGGCGTACCGAGGCAGCTAAATTCCCCAATGTTTGGGCTACTTTTGAATATTCCTCCTGCGGAGGGACGTGCCCGACCTTGAGACCAGGCCGCGCGGCGCTTTCAGCGCAAGCGTCGACTGCGCGCTTTTCCCGCTCTCGCGTGCCCCCTGGGCGGAGGACGTGGCGCGCCCTCTTCCGGCTGGCTGAGCGGAGGCGGAGGCGCGTCCTTCGGCAGGACAGGATCTTGTGGCTGTAGGTCGCGCTCGTGTGCACGGCCTCCTTGACGTCCAGGGGGCACCAGCTCTCCTCGGGCGATGGGGGGGTGGGGAGGGGGGTGGCGAGGCAGGATCGGGAGGAGCGCGAGGGAGAGGATGATGATGGGAGATGAGGGCTTAGCACGAGGGGGATACAGAAGTCCTTGTCTCTCCGACAGACTCCTAGAGCAAGCGATCTCACTTTGGAATCAAAGCTGAGTGCCTTCAACGTGCCTCATCGCGCAGATCTGGGGTCATACAGCTGACCATACCTCAGCAGAACACAACCCACAACAACATAACGCACACATGCACATACTTGCATACATATGCACACTTCAATATCTGTGTAACTCTATGTGTATATCACACACAGCGTTGCAACGCGTACGAGGAGGAGGAGGAGGAAGAGGAGGAGGAGGAGGAGGAGGAAGAGGAGGAGGAGGAGGATGAGAAGCTGGAGGAGGAGGACGTGGAGGAGGAGAAGGACGAGGACGAGAAGGAGGAGGAGGAGGAGGAGGAGATTGAGGAGGAGGACTTGGAGGAGGAGGAGGAGGAGGAGAGGAGGAGGAAGAGGAGGAGGAGGAGGAGGAGGAGCAAGAGGAGGAGGAGGAGGAGGAGGAGGAGGAGAAGGAGGAGGAGAGGAGGAGGAGGAGGAGGAGGAGGAGGAGAGGAGGAGGAGGGAGGGGAGGAGGAGGAGGAGGGAGGAGGAGGAGGAGGAGGAGGAGAGGAGGAGGAGGAGGAGGAGGAGGAGGAGGAGGAGGAGGACAAAGAGGACGAAGAGGATAAGGAGGAGGAGGAGGAGGAGGACTTGGAGGAGGAGGAGATACCATAGGAGAAGGAGGAGGAGGAGGAGGAGGAGGAGGAGGAGAAGGAGGAAGAGGAGGAGGAGGAGGACGAGGAGGAGGAGTGGTGGGTTGGCTTCGAAGTGCACGGCGCCCTGCGGGAACCAGTGCCCACGTGGACGGCGACGCCCCCGGCCTTCGCCACGGCGGTCGCGGACATGCCCGCCGCGGCACTGTACACAGTCGCGGCAAACCCCACGAGCGAGGCGGCGTGGGCCCGGCTGCTCTTGTTTTGGCGGCTGCTCGTCGCGGTGCCCCCCGCCAGCGGTAGTGACGAGCAACTCTCGGCCTCGAAGGTGCTGCCGTGCCGCCTCCGTCAGCCCTGGGCCGCGACAGCGCGACTCGGGGAACCAGCTGAAGACTGCGCTGGCCAGCGGAAACCAGAAGAAGTGGCCCGTCGGGTACACCAGCTCATCATGCTCGGAGAAGTCTGCCGTGGTGCTGCGGCGGCCGCGGCGCAAGGGCCTGGGGTGGCTCGGGACCTGGCCGCCATCTTCCCCGCGGCGGCGTCCGCCGACCGTTCGCCGCCGCCGCCCGCGGCGCAGCCCGCCGAGCCGTGGGAGGCCGAAGCGGCCGAAGGGGCAGCGGACAGCCTTCGGAAGTACCCGCGCCACTCGGGCCCCGGCCTCTCTGGCGCCCGCTTCGAACACTGGGCGGCTCAGCGCGGGCACAGCGAGGGGAAGCAGGCGCTCAGGCAGGTGCTTGTCCTCATCCTGGAGGGCAGGGTGCCGGAGCACGTCATGCAGGCCATCCTCGCAGGACGGCTGTTGCCGCTGCTGAAGCGGGGAGGCGGCGTGCGACCGCTTGCCTGCGGTGAGACGCTGAGCAGGATGACCGCCAAGGCGGCCACGGCAGCGCACAGGGGAGCCATCGCCGCAGCGGTGGATTGCCACGACTTTGGCGTGGGCCGCAAGAGCGGCATCGAGCTGATGCACAACATCGTGGTGACCGCGCTGGAGGAGGACCCCGGCGCCGGGGTGCACGTGGCCAACGCGTTCAATGAGCTCTGCTGACGCCCTGCTGCGGGAGGTCGCCGGCCATCTGTCAGAGCTAGCGCGGCTGGCGGAGACGTGGTACGGCAGGGCCACTACGCACGGAGTCCGCCTTCACAGGGCCAGGGCGGCGCCAGTCAGGGCGGAGCGCGGGGTGGACTGGGGTTGCCCCCTCTCCCGGGCCTTCTTCGCGCTGGCGGCTCTCAACGAAGGCCTGGAGGCGGCGGCGCTCCGCGAGGACCCCGAGGCCAGGGTGGTGGCCTAGCTCGACGCCGTGTACGTCGCGGGCAGCCCGCGCGCTCTGGCCGCGCCGGCGCTCCCGGCGGTGGGGGCCTCCGCCTGAGCGCGCGGAAGACCCAGGTCTGGAACTCGCGCGCCCTGCCACCCCCTGGGCCTCTGGCGAAGGCGGAAGTGCCCGACCTCGCGTGCGTGGGAAGCACGCTACCCTACGTGACCTGGCTGTTGAGGTGACGCTCGGCTTCCTCCTGATCCCGCGTACCTCGGAAGTCTTGCCACGAAAACAATGTGTTTGGCAGTCTTGGATCCGCCACCGTGCCTCCAGCCCCAGAGTGGGCGTGTGCTCAGGTCCTTCGCCTAATCCCTGAAGCCTCAACTCTCGCTCCTGAGGAATCTTTAACGTACCTGGGCACCAAATTCCGAAACTTGGTGGGGCTTGCCGCGGTTCCCCCAGGCTCCCCCGCGGCTTCCCGCATGACTTTCTCGGGCCAAAGACGACCCCAAGACGGGCCAGGAGGGCTCCGCGAGCCCCCCGAGACGGTCCAAGAATGCCCCGAAATGCCCAAAGATCGGCCCAAGGCGCCCAAATGGGTTTCCAAGACGCCCAAGATGGCCCAAGATCGGCCCAAAGATGGCCCAGATGGCCCAAAGATCGGCCCAAGATGCCCCCACGACGCCCCAATGGGCCTCCAATAGGCCGCCCCAGACGTCCTTAAGAGGCAAAAGGCATTCATTCTCAGTAGTTTTTTGGAACATTTTGGTGCTCTCGCCTTTTCGGTTTTCCGACGTTTCAAGACGGCCCAAGAGGCCCCCCAAACAGCCCAAAACGGTCCAACAAGAGGTCCCCAAGAGGGCCCCAAGACGGCCTCATAGCGCCCCAAGACGGCTTCAAAATGGGCCCATGAGAGGAAACGCGAACGGAACATCCAAGCCCTCCGCCCCTAGAGGCCCCCAGGAGGCCCCAAGAAACGCCCAGGAGGCGCCAAGAGGCCCCCCAAAAGCCCCCCCAAGACCCCCAAGAGGCCCCAAGAGGCCCCCAAGAAGCCCAAAGATGCCCCAGGGGCTCCCGAACGGCCCCCAAGAGGCCTCCGAACTGCCTCCCGGTGGCCCCCGAGAGGCCCCCCACGAGATCCCAACGAACACGGTGATGATGACGCTGGCGATGGTGGGCAATGTATTGTGCCGATAAAGATGACGACATGAATGCTCGCAGAAACTCATAACTTCCAGCAGCTGCATTATTGGGAATACCATTGTGTGTTCCGTATTATTTGAACACCCCTGTGTTGAAACGCTTAAATCATCAGTGGTTTTGAAAAGAATGCGGCGTGTGCGCGAAGAGGCGCACCTGGCCCGCATGGCATTCTTTGACAGCATTGGCGGTCGCGCGATGGTCGCTGAACGTTTCCCAGAAGCTCGCGTGTGGCCCGCATGTTCTCATATGACACAGTGGCTAAAACTCAATGGGTATATTAGGGTTTCAGCGAGTGCGCGCGCGCGCAGACGTCTTACATTTTAGTGAGCGGAAGGCTGTCTTTCATCATTGTGTCTTGCAGTGGTTCGAACATAGGTTCTGGACTGGTTTCTGCATGCGCTCGCGGCGGCGCGCGCATGTGCCGTGAAGGACTACCCTGCAGATTGGAAGCGGCCAAGGGGTCCGAGCTGGATGGCCCCGAGAAAATCTGTCAAAACGGGGGATACAAGGCCAATTCGGTCAACATCGGACCATGGGCCCCTCCCGGGGTCCATCCAACTTTTCACTCTGGATTTGTCTTTGATGGTTCCTTGGCCCCGAGACCCAGACAGGCATTCGAACCCAGAACCTCGACCCATCCCCCCTCTCCCGCTAACCGGAACCAATGCTGGGACACATCAGGCCCCCACACAGCTCCAACCGGGAAAACTCGAGCCGCCAGGTCCTCCGTGATCTCGATGACGGAGCCTGAGTAAAAGGAGCCAGAGGCGTCCACCCAGCGGCCTGGCGAATCAAGGGGGGGGGGGCGGCTTCCGCTCCTCCTCCTCGCACCTTGCAGAACAAAATCGGGCTGAACAAGCTCCACCATGCAGCAAACCGAGCCTGAACCTGCTTCTACCTCCTGGTCCTCCATCTCCTCCTCGTCGTCTCCGCCTCCTCCTCCTCCCCATCCTCCTCCTCAACCTCCTCCCTCCTTCTCGTCGCCGTCCTCGTCCTCGTCGTCCTTCTCCTCCTCCTCCTCCTCCTCCTCCTCCTCCTCCTCCTCCTCCTCCTCCTCCTCGTTCTACCTCCTACTCCTCCATGACCTCCTCCGCGTCCCCCGCTCCTCTTCCTCCTCCTCCTCCTCCTATTCATCCTCGTCCTCCTATTCCTCTTCCTCTTCCTCTTACTCCTCCTCCTTCTCCTCCTCCTCGTCCTCCTCGTCTTCCTCCTCCTCGTCCTCTTCCTTCCTCCTCCTTCTCCTCCTCCTCCTCGTCCTCTTTCCTCCTCCTCCTCCACTTCCTCCTCCTCCTCCTCCTCCTCCACTTCCTCCTCCTCCTCCTCTTCCTCCTCCTCCTCCTCCTCCTCCTCCAGCTCGTCCTCCTCGTCCTCCTCGAAATCCTCCGCCTCCTCCTCCTCCTCGTCTTCCATCTTTGCAATCTCCTCCATCTCCCCCATCTCTTCCATCTCTTCCTCCTCCTCCTGCTCCTCCCTCTCAGCATGTTCATTCCCGTACTCCTCGTCCTCCCTCTCGCTCTGTGCCCTCGTCGTCCTCCTTCCACGGAACTCGGTACTTGCGCAGCCATTGCCCCCGTTGCACGGGATTCGGTAGTTGCGCCGCCATTGCCCGAGCGATCCAAATGGTCACCTGAACGGGTAATCATTTGCAAGACTTGCACTTCACGGTCCGCTGTTCTCGGCGCGCGCAACGTTCCCGCCCGCCACGGAAAACGCCGACTTCGGCAATTTTCCTTGCACGGGCCGCTGCGGCGATACGCCTGCCAACGGCGCGCTGTGAACCCGAGGTTCTCGTAACCTCCGCACACCACTCTGGCCCCTTCTGCTTCCGGTGTTCATCCACTTGCTCCTTCTTTAAATGTTTCGCGTGCGAGAGAATTTCCCCGCCCGCCGCGCACGTCAGCGGCTTCGTGTCCGCCTCGGCGTTCCGTTTGACATCTGCTGTCTCGTAATTTGTTGGCAGCGCCGTGCTCTCCCGCTCCATGGCGCACTTCTAGGAGAGTCTCTCCCCAGCTGCGTTGCACTTCGTCTGCGCTTCCAACATCGCCACCGACTCCTCGAAAGGCGACAAGCACGCGTCGTTCGAACACTGTGCTGTGCCGACGCTGTCGTTCCACTTTGCGCTGTCATTGCGCGAGTTCTTCCTGGCCTTCATTGGCCTTCGCATGCGTTCAACTCGCGCAATACGTGGTGCGAATCTTTTTTCGCCCTCTTCGTCGCCCGCTGCATCCCCGCCCCGATCGCCGACTGGCCGCGTTCGCCCCTCCTCCGCTTTGCTTGCCCCCCCGCTGCATGTCTTGCAGAATTTCTCGCCCCTGCTTTTGATCTCCGCCGTGCATTCTTTACAAAGCGCTGGGCCCGCTTTCCCCTGGAACTCGTACTTCGTGAACGCCTCTACTAGCAACCTCCGCCGACACCGCTCACGCGCGCCCCGCGGCACTAGCTGCAACTAGGATTTCTACTTGGCCACCGGGGCTGCCTCCACTGCCGCCTTTGCCCCACCCTACTCTCTCATCCTTACTTCTTATGATTCAACGCCCCCCCATCCCCACCTGGCTGGCCGATAGCAACAACGCCGTCCCAAAAATCAACATAACATCCATTCTGTTCTCGCCAACATGTCGTCGAATTGCGACGCGTGTAGCAGGAATGGGACGGAATGAACATCGCTTGGGAGGCCCTAAGCGGGTGGTTGCGTCCTGCCCATCAACAAACACTACAACATCCATGTTTTTCTCGTCAGCGTGGACTTTCGTGTCGTCGACGTTGCGAAAAGTGTAGCAAGAATGGGATGCGGCGCGCATCGCGCGCGGACGCCTGGCCAACCCTACGCGGGATCCCCCGTCCTACCTGTCAAGAAACACCGCAACGGCGACTTTTCCCTTGCCAGCATGTACTTTCTCCTCGTCGGCGCCGCGAATCGCACAGCAGGAATGGGACGCGGCGCACATCGCGCGGGGACGCCTGCTCGTCAACGTGGACTTTATTGTCGTCGACGCTGCGGCCCGTCGGGTTGAGGAGCTGGGCGGGCGGCAAGTCATAATGCCTCAAGCAAGTGCGGTTCAAGCAAGTGCCTCAGGAGACCCCGACAAAAATCAAGGAAAGGCGCCTAGGAGGTCCTGGGGGGGCAACACAAATATTGATGTTCATTTGGTGTGAAAGATTGTGAAGCTACCACATACTTGTGTTGACAATGCTCCAACCCGGAAAGTATATCCAAGAGGCCCTCAGGCGTATACCAGAAAGCTCCCAAGACGCCCCGCGAATTCTCAAGAGGCATTCTCCTCTTCCTCCTCAGTTTCCCCCTGCCTCCCTCCCTCCCTCCCTCCCCTCCTCCTCCTCCTCCTCCTCCTCCTCCTCCTCCTCCTCCTCCTCCTCCTCCTCCTCCCCCTCCTCCATGCGCGGCAGGAGCGACACGATTGGCGGTGCAACGCGCGTGGCTGGAATGTGACGCGGCGCACTTCGCGCGCTGGACATGTTGCCGCCGACGATGCAACATGAGAGGCCGGAGCGGGGCGCGGCGCACATCGCGCGCGGTTTTGTTTCTCGTCGACGTTGCTCAATACGCGGCAGGAATAGGACGCAGCACATGTCGCGCGCTGAACGTCTACCCGCCCACGATATGAGACGAGCGACAGGCGTCGGACGCGACGCACTTGCTTCTTATGTTGTGGGAGGGCGGGTGGAAGTGGACGGAGCCCTCTGGCTCGTTCGAGCTGGCTAACTTGACCCTAGCTAACCTCATCACCTAGCCTCACCCAGCAATGAAGAATCCCGCCCCCCATTCCGGTGAAAGGATAACGCACCAAGCACCCTGAAGCGTTATCCTGGCACCAGTCGGCCCCCCCACTTTCGATGTCGTTGCACCCAAGATCTGTATCCATCTTATCCTGGGGATCAAGAGCCGCATCGAGACCCGTGCCGCGCTCTGATTTCGAAATCAAGGATACGGCCGAGGCCAAGTTACTGCCGCCCAGTGCAAATATCAAGCATGCGATCGCCCTCGCGAGCACCATCGTGAGTGTCGAAATGCTTGCTTCGGCTGACGTGCTTGGCGCGAGCGTACAGAATCGGACGTGCGGAGATTTAGGGATAATGCTTGTATTGCGATGGGCCACGGCTTGGACCGAAACGCTACGGACCGTGTTCGAGCACTCGTGGGCCACTCTCGGCGTCCCTGACGCCCCCGAAGAGCCCTAAACGATCATCCGTTTCCCGGCAAACTGGGCCAGCTCCTGGCGAACTGGGCCACTGCCCGCCGAGCCCGCGTCCATGCAGTGCACACACTGAGGCAGTATACGCGCAGACACTACTTAAGCCTTAGACACGCTGGCACAACTTGAACCATATGCCCGCCACAACGGGAATACCGAACTCCATTGCAAACAAACATAATATACATCAAAGGCAGCGACGTGGAGTAAGGACTCTCCGTTGCAGTGTCCCGCGAAGAACCGCGGGAATTTAGCAGCGCTTGGCATGGCTTAGCAGGGCTTATCAATACGTAGCAGGGCCTAGCAGCGCTTGGCAACGACTAGCAAGTTTTACGAAGGCTTCACCAAGCTTCCCAAAGCTTGGCAGGGCCTGGCTGGGCCGAGCAGCGACGAGCACGGCGTACCTGGGCCCAGCAGGGCCCTGGCACTTGGCCGTTGCTTGCTGGCACGTTGCCTCAGCGGCGGAAGGCTGCAGCGTCGCCGCGGCATCGAATCAAGGGGTCGGCGGACGTGGCGTAAGCCTGTTGAATCATCGGGGTGAGTCAAACATCAACGCGGGGCGCATCATTCCCATCGCAAAAGCCTTCAACCGTCACGCTGATAAGCTCGCCATCGCGGTGGCACAGCTCCACAGTGTCCCAGGAGTCCTGGTTGACGCTGCCAAAAGGCGACGCACATCTGCCGCCTCCCTCCGTAGGGCGACGTTGGACGCTCCCTCTGCCTCACCGGAGAGCTGTGTATACCCGACCCTGCCTCTCTAATAACACCGAGCCCGCTCACCGTCGGACTAGGGGGGCAGGGCACAAATGCAGAAAGAAGACCATCTCCGCCGGGCGGTCCACCAAGACCGCGTCACTTCGACGAACTCGACGACCCTTGGTCGCAACCACCGGACGAGTACGAAGCGGAGGGCCTCGATCCGCTCGGGCATGGGGCCTTGCTAAACGATGATGGAGCAAACGACTTCCCCCTCAGAGTCACTTCCTAGGTGAAGGCAGCGCAATCGAAGACCACCCCAGCATGTGGAGCCATAGTCTCTCTCTGTGTCTCACACTCTCTTTCTCTCTCTATCTTGTGCTCTCTCTCTCTCTCTCTCTCTCTCTCGGCCACTCGACGACCGGCCAGGAGTGGCAGAGCCCAGTGGTTTTCCCGAACTCCCACCTCAACCTTCCCTCCCCATTCGGCCCACCAGGGTTCCGACGGGAGTGGCCGAGAGGCTAGGGATGACGGCCACCGCGCCAGCGGTGCCACCTAACGCATGGACCGTAGGCAAACCCTCACGCAGCATCTCGCTGCGTTGGAAAGTCAGCACCAAGATGGCCGCGAAGCCGTTCTCATCGCCAGCATTCATGCGCCCTATCATCGGGCCAACCAGCTGGCGTCTTCCCTTCACCAGATTCAGGAACAGGCCGCCCCACTGCTCGACAAGTTCCAGCGAGCGCAAGAGGCCTAAACCGGCCTGCAACAAGCCTTTCGGCCAACGGTTGCCGTCGGGGCGTCCCTTCACTGCAACCTACAAACCTTAATCGACGGTCAACTTCTGGCACGCCAGTGCCAGTACCCCTCATACTACAAAGCTGCGTGAACAATTGTCACCTGCTCCGCCGCCTGTTCTCACTGGGCGGCTGCGGGGGATGCCCCACGGCGGCGCCGTTCACTTCTTCCAAGCTCCGCATCGCGCGCGCCAGCGCGCAGGCAAAGGCGGCGCTGCTGCCGCGAGTGGGCAGACGGGCCTTTGAGCGGCCCGGTCGCCGCGTGCCCGCTTCGTTTTCCAGCCAGGGCCCCCCGCAGGCTGCGCTGGGAGGTGGGTGGGCGGGTCGTGCCACCACCCCTGTGTCGCAGGCGGCGCATCCCGCGGTGTGAAGTAGGCGAGCGGGGCGCTTGTGGTTGCGGAGTCTGGGCGGCCCTGCTGTCTGAAGTGTTGCGCCCTCTCCCCTCCTCTCCTCTCCTCTCCTCTCCTCTCCTCTCCTCTCCTCTCTTCTCCTCTCCTCTCCTCTCCGATGAGAACGAACGCGGCGCGCGCGTAAACTTTCGCAGGTCCGCGCGGCTTTCTTGGGTAGGCCCTGGGCCCCCTTCGCCTGGCGTGCGAAGCGCGCGGGACGCGCCGCCAGAGGGGCCCAGCGCCGACCAAAGAGAACCCCGCTCCCTCCTCTGATGTCATGTTGTTGACTTCTTACCTACTGCAGGATAAGTCTTGTTGACCCCCCCTCCCTGGTGGCCATTCTGTTTTTCAATTGAAGTGCGTCCCGTGGGGCTCGCACCCTATGTGTTATCAGGGAAAACCACTCGGGTCAAACTGCGTTGTTGGCCCCCGGATTACGCCACAACGGCTCCCGCTGTTGACTTCCTCACAATTTAGCCAGGGCCCCCGGTCCCGCCTGAGACTTCTTCGCGTTTGACTCAGGAGTCGCGCTCTCGCTTGGAACCGCCTTGCAATGTATTCAAGAATCGCTCTCTCGCTGGAAACTTGCTTGCAATTTACTAAAGAATCGCGCTCTTGCGTTGGAATTCCCTCAATCGCCGCGCTCCCGACACTCAGGCACCCAGGAGTCGCACGCTTAGGACTCCCTCACAGCCTACTTAGGAATCGGGATCTCGCTGCCCTTCGTGGCCCCGTTGCAGCCCTTCGTGGCCCCCTCGCTGCCCTTCGTGGCCCTGTTGCAACCCTTCGTGCCCCCCACGCTGCCCATCGTGGCCCCGTTGCAGCCCTTTGTGGCCCCCTCGCTGCCCTTCGTGGCCCCGTTGCAGCCCTTCGTGGCCCCCACGCTGCCCTTCGTGGCCCCGTTGCAGCCCTTCGTGGTCCCCTCGCTGCCCTTCTTGGCCCCGTTGCTGCCCTTCGTTGCCCCCACGCTGCCCTTCGCGTCCCCGTTGCAGCCATTCGTGGCCCCCTCGCTTCCCTTCGTGGCCGCGTTGCAGCCCTTCGTGGCTACCTCGCTGCCTTTCGTGGCTCCATATATGTATGCCCTTTGTGGCATCCGCTCGTTCGTGCCAGTCGTGGCCCCGCTGTCGCCCTTCGTGGCCCCCTCGCTGCCCTACGTGGCCCCGTTGCTACCTTCGGTGGCCCTGTCCTTGCCGTTTGCGGCCCCATGTGCGCATGCCCGTCGTGGCCCCCGCTCGTTCGCGCCCGTCGTGGCCCCATATGCATGCCCTTCGCGGCCCCGCTGTCGCCCTTTGCGGCCCCCTCGCTGCCCTACGTGGCACCGTTGCTATCTTCGGTGGCCCTGTCCTTGCCCTCTGTGGCCCCGCATTATCTGCCCTTCGTGGCCCCCGCTCGTTCGCGCCCTTCGTGGCCCCATGCGCGTGCCCTTCGTGGCCCCGCTGTCGCCCTTCGTGGCCCCCTTCATGTCCTTCGTGGCCCCGCCGGCGCTCTCGCTCTCGCTTTCGCTCGTCGTCGTCGTCGTCGTCGTCGTCGTCGCCGTTGCCGTTGCCGTCGTCGTCGTCGTCGTCGTCGTCGTCGTCGTCGTCGTCTCCGTCGTCGTCGTCGTCGCCGTCGTCGTGGTCGGTCTCCTGTTCGTCCCTCTTGGGATCGGGTTGCCGCCGATCTGCGTTGCCGCTGGCCAGGCCGACGGTCTGCGGCCGCCCCGCCGCTTGCCGTGGCACGGTACGATCGAAGACGAAGAGGGCGGGTATCGACGGTCTGGGGGATACACGTTGAATGACACTCGAACAGATCAGAACGAAAAGTATTAACATGATTGTTGTTGTTGCTGCTGTTGTTGTTGTTGTTGTTGGTGTTTTTGGTTGTTTGGTTTTTCGCGGTATTCTGTTCATTCCATACCCTCCCCTTTCCTTGCCATGGAGGCGACGAGTCCTGGACCAACTTTTCATCCTGAACTGCTTTTTGAAAGCCCCAGGGCCCTGGGCGGGCACTGGCAACCCGAGAACGATGCGACACCCCAACGACCCCTGTCCCTCAAGACCCTTCGTGCTGGCAAGATGAATGATCATCGAATTGGGAGATCGGATCGAACAAGAATGTGCATCGGATCCGGCTGCATCGGCACGGAATCGACGTCGAATCGGATCGCCTGCGCCAAGATGCACGAACAGCGCCGTGCGAGCACCAGGCCGCATCGGATCTCCAGGAAATCGGAATCGAATCGGATCGGGCAGCACAGAATCGACATCGACTTGGATCGATCGGATCGGAAGGGACCCTGTGCTGGTCTCTTCTGGCGTTCGCGTGGCGGGAACAGGTCCTCGGGCGTCGAGTAATGGGAGGGCGACAAGCTTCGCCGTTTCCGGGCCCCTGGCGCACTCCACGGGCCTCGGGACCGCTGGCAGAAGCGACCCAGGACGCAGAGCCAGGTCCTGGGGAGAAAAGCCGGGGTCAACGTAAGACCTGTCCCCACGCCTCCCGCAAGGACCCTCTCCTCCTCCTCCGCCTCCTCCTCCTCCTCCGCTTCCTCCTCCTCCTCTTCCTCCACATCTTCCACCTCCTCCCTCCTCCTCCTCCTCCTCCTCCTCCTTCTTCTTCTCCTCCTCCTCCTCCTCCTGCTCCTCCTCCTCCTCCTCCTCCTCCTCTTCCTCTTCCTCCTCCTTCTGCTGCTTCCCCTCCTCCTCCTCCTCCTTCTCCTCCTCCTGAACCTCCTCCTGCTTTTTCTCCTCCTCCTCCTCCTCCTCCTCCTTCCCTCCGCGGCTGCGGCGGCGCCGGACCTTGGAGGAGGAAGCCAGAGTCCTCGCGGAAACAGTTCGGCGTCCGCGGCTGGGCCTGGGCCGAACACCCGCTGCTGGCGCAGGGCGCCGCGGGCGCCGCTCTCCCATGCTGGCCCGGGCCAGAGGGCCCTGGCCCCCTGGCCAGA